TAGTCTGAAACAAGTTGGATTATATTGTTGTGATTTGCAGTTATAGTCTCCAGCGTCTTGTTCTCATTATATCTGTAGTGAATGATTTATTGAAGACTATTTATTTTCTCATCTGTCGTAGGAAAATAGTAGTTCGCTAGATAGCACTTTTCCAGGAACCTAATGAACGTAACTGGAAGGAGATTTTTGTGGGCGATGTGCTATGGGTGCGCTGGAGGAAGAATGAGTATTGGCCTGCAACCGTTTATAGCATCTCAGACACTGCACCTGTAAAGGTTTGTTCTTTCCTTCGTGAAATACAATATCAGTTTTGCATCAAAGCGTTGACGAGCATTGTCTGACATCTCATAGAATGGGAATTAGTATCTTTGAATACCAACCCTGCATTGTTTTGCGTACAGGGAAAGTACCAATTTGACTTAGTTTTGTGCTGCGAGGTTTCCTTGTGATCCAGCTCGTCACTCGTATATATTTGAAGGTTACTGTGCTATGGATCAACGACAAGACTCAGAGTACCGTCGATTATACACAAGTGGACTCTTTCGACATGGCTTTTCACTTTAGGTGGGAATACCTCAAGACATTTTTGTAGTTTCCTTGCAGCCGCTAATACATGTTTTTTCTTCCATCTCGGATGAAGCCAGATGAACTTTATGAATGTTTAACATCATAGCCGGTCTCAAAAATTTGTTTACAGATATGATGCTCGCCGCAGTGATCCGAAATACGTGAAAGCTGTAGCGAGAGCTCTTCGACTGATGGGCAAAATGGGTTTCTGGGAATGGTAATAGCAAAGTCCGATGGTTATGATTTCGATAAAAGCATTCTTCAGTCACATCACTGCAAAAGTTTACGATGAAATCGTTAAAGAAGAAGGAGAGTCGTTCTGCCGTCATATTCTTCCCGAAGAGTTGAGAAAAATCAAGGAGAAGTCTAAAGTGCCAAAGCTGGCCAAAGAAACAAAGAAAGAAGACTTGGTGAGCTCTAATACTTGACTTGGGATAAGAAGTGTTGTCGGCATCGGGCGTTTGCTCGTTTTCAAAATGGATGTTACTCTTAAACTAGCTTTGTTGGAAGGTGTCATAACCGCATTATTTCATTGCGAATTCATCACTTTGGCGAGCACAATTCATGTAATTTCTAATTAGTTCTGGAGTTTCTCTTCAAAAGATTGAAGTATTTGTAATGAGCTTTTCAATTTGATCACTCAGTGAGGATGTACGGGGTCTATTGACGCCATGCAAGAGAAGAAAAATCATTTCTTAGTAGTATTGTAATACTACTTTGCTGATATTGTTATTTGCAGACGAAGTTGCAGAGAAGTGAGGAACTCCTGCAGGCTCTTCAGGCTGCTCATTTCATCGACAATTACCACTGTTCACCTGTAGTCGGTAACGCTCTTCCGTTGACACAGCAGATGTGAGTTCAGCTGCTTCCAATCCTACACCCATGAAGAATTTGTGTTTATGATATTGTTTCATTCAGAGTTGACGACTATCAGGGAAGCAAGGAGTACGCTAAAGGAAATCTCGATCCATTATTTGAACGCGGTACCATGTTGTCTTTTGATGAAGACGCCAAGGTATTCAACATTGACACGGAGGTCATGGGATCGAACGAGATCGTGAGTGAAAGCCGCACGCAAGAAGTGCCATCGTATTGGGCATGTAACAAACAAAAACCAGCTTTTTATTTTGAGCATTCCTAAAAGTGATCCAAGTAGATTGAAACACTGCAATGTTTCCCGCTCATGCACGATTGGTTTATCGACCTTTCTCGGT